GGTTCCGACTCATAGTGACCCTGTACAGGGTTTCCGAGGCTGTAAATCGTTACCGGAGCAGAAAGCCTCATCTTTCTCCCGCAGAACAGCTGGTAGTTTAGAACTGCCCACCTTGAGGTTAGCAGCCCGATTCAAAACCACTATGCTATTCTCAAATGAGGCTGCACGACTGCCCTGCGCGCCCCAGTTCAGGAGCCAATCGGAGGCTAACTGAGCCGTTGCCATGACCACACAGTGTGGTGGGGCCTCTTGCCCGCCTTGCGCGCCACAGCTTCATAGCCAATCAGCGGCCTGACGAGCCGTTGCCATGACCTCACTGTGTGTTAGGGCCGTGCTTTGGCCCGCAGCGCCTGCGGCTGGGACCAGCCAAGCTGTTCTAGCCCCAGAACTCCGCGGGTACCAGCAGCGCGCGCTGAAACACCAACCAAGAACAGATTCCCAGAGCGCCCAACATGAACCGCAAGAAGCTGCAGAAGCTAACGGACACCTTAACTAAAAATTGCAAACATTGTAAGTAAGAAATAAGCAAGTGCTAGAGGCTCCTGAATAGGTCCGACTGGCTACAAATGTCCTTTGCTTCTTGCCGTCAGAATCTATGACCCTGAAGCCCCATCCTGCTGGTACCTTTCTGCACCCCACCCACAAGAAGAAGTCTGGAAGGAAATTCCGGGTCGTAGTCCTTTGGGACAGGCCAGGATCATTTAAGATCAGACAGTCACAGCACTACACTCCCACGCATGTACTTTCTTCCTTCTCAAAACTTTTTCTTATTTTTGTCATATAGAAAAGTGATTTATACTAGTTGTTTTGGTTTTCGTCGCAGAGGCATAAAATTAGTACAAAAGTCTGCCAGACTTAAAAACAACATCATAATTAACCTACACCGTGCACCTCGCCTTACTTTTATAGTTATTTTTAGAGAAAATAAACCTTCAGGATCCAATCCCTAGTAGCAAGAAACCCATAGAGAGAGTGGCTATAGTTTTCTAAACATTATTAGGAAAGAAGAGATAAAGTGGTGCAAAAAATGATTTCAGAGCAAGGAGACGTTTGGAAACCAAAGAGCTCACCATAGCGAAATGCATAATAATGAATCTGTTCCCACTCTAGGTTTCCACTTTCCAATTGGTGATGGGATTGGAAAACAACTTGTAGGTGACATGCATGTTTACTAAAGATATGTGCCTTAATTGCTTGTCTTAAAAGTAGTTGTTGTTAAGTGCCATCGAGTCGGTTCTGACCCATAGCCACCCTGAACAGGGTTTCTGAGGCTGTAAATCTTTACGGGAGCAGAAAGCCTCATCTTTCTCCCGTAGAGCAGCTGGTTGTTTCAAACTACTACTGACCTTCAGGTTCACAGCCCAATTCATAACCACTACGCTACCAGAGCTCCTAAAATTAGGTCCTAGAATTTCATAGGACAATTCAGATTTTACTCAGACTGAAAAACAGAGTTCTTTGGGGACATGGAGACCATGATTATGAGGAAGATGTTGTCTGGTGAGCAAGTTTCTAAACTTTGCTGATTGCAAAAAGATTAGCCACTTAAGGAAGCGGGCATAGCCATGATCCAAGTTTTAGTGTAGTTCTAACTTCAGGTAATATTATGCTTATTGTAATCGGATAAAAGTTTTTGTTGTAATTTTGACCTTATTTTCCTTAAAATGCTGTATTTCTGGGGAAAGACCAGGTATTCTTCAAATATCTAGTAAATATTTTGAATAAATGATCGTAAATAATGTAATAGCTACTGTACAAAACACTGAATCTGATTTAGTTCCTATTCTGTAAGTTAGCAATATATTATAAACAGACATTCTATGAACAGTTAAAAGATGATTGTGTATTTGAAAAGATAAATGAAAACGTGGGAGGATAAATAGTCAACTTTTTAGAATTTCTCTTCCTAAATACATCATTTTAAGTGACATGTACAAACTTTGATGAGTAACAGGTAAATTCCATAGAAATAGCTGCAAATTATGGGCAATATAATCATTTTAAACTTCCTTAAATAGGGGACCTCCCCCTAAATTCAAATTTATTTTTAGTTTCTAGATGATAATGTCACCAGTAAAAAAAAAATGGATACATTTTGAAAAATCAGAGAAGAAGAAAGGATCTTAAAAGATCATCTAGTTAATCCATCATTCTACAGATACAATCTGCAAGACATATTTACACTATTCCAAAAAGATGAAAATCTGTTATTGAATTCTCCTCAATTTGATTTAGTATTCTAGAATTTAAGAAACATGTCAGCAAGAAAGAGCTTTCTTAAAGCTAATGGTCATGTAATGAATTCAGGTAATTCAGGTCATAAATTAAGCTAATTTTCTATAATTTATATTTCAGGCAAGATGGGAAAATGCCCTGTTGGTATTTTGCAGAGTTAATACACCATTCTTCATACAGATTTTTCTTCCCTGACTTAACACATCTCTTTATATATCACAATCGTTCATATTTTTTCCTAGTAAATTACAGTGTCCCAAACCAAGAAGTAACATATAAGCCTGGCACAGAGTCGAACCCTATATGGTAAAGCGATGCTGCTCAATTCCTATGTGCTTTGTTATTTAATGTGCACCCTTGTTTTGTTTCATTTTATTTTCCACATTCTCAACTGTAAATTTTATCTTGTTTTGAAATAAAACCTTCTCCATCTTCTTCCTGTATTTCATATTTTGACTCATTTTTATGTTCTAGCTGCCAGCCAATAGCCCTTCCCCCTGCAGACTTCAAATGGGCATTGGCGTATAACTTCCTTTAAGCAAATGCGTATCTGGGGAAGTATGTGTGTGTATGTATACAATATACTCGTTGTTACGTGCTGTCGAATTGGTTCCTAGTCATAGTGATTCTAGATAGAATTTCTGAGGAGTACCTGTGGAGCACGGTAGCTCTGTAGGATAAGCACTGGACTGTGAACCACAAGGTCAGGGTTCTAGCCCACAAGCCACGCTGTGAGACAAAGATTTCTCCTCCTGCAAAGATTTATATCCTCAGGAACCCTATACAGGATTGGTGGTGGGTGGGTGGCGGTGGCTATGTGCCATGGAATCGGTTCTGACTCATTGCGACCCTGCGCAGGGTTTCTGCAGCTGTAAATCTTTACGGGATCAGAAAGCCCCATCTTTCTCTCGCGGAGCAGCTGGTAGTTTTGAAATGCAGGCCCTGAGGTTAGCAGCCCAATTCGTAACCACTACGCTACCAGAGTGGACAGCACTTAACAACAAGATAGGGAACTTTGTTGTTGTTGTTGTTAAGTGTTGTCGAGTTGATTCTGACCCATAGCGACCCTGTAAAGGGTTTCCAAGGAGCAGCTGGTGAGCTTTAACCACCAACCTTGCAGTTCAAACCACTTTGCAGTCTGACGCATTAGCCCACAGCACCACACCAGGACTCTTGGAAACTTTAGGGTGGTGGAATCTAAAAGATCTAGTAAATACACATGCCCCACTCCTACCCCTTGTGCAGCAGCTGCACCTCTCTGCATGTGAGTGGTTCTGCCCCTAGGCTTGCTCTGGGAAGCTCCCTGGAGCTCCTTCTCTCTCTCAATGGTCAAGGTGGAGACCATCTTCTCTGCCAGTGGTATGCACCATGTTCCACCTGCTAGCATCCTGAAAGTGGAGGGCAGGTGATGACTTACCTCACTGACTGAAGGGTGACCTGGGTTCATTTTGGCGTCAGCTCCTCTGATGGTGTACGAGGGTGCAGTCCTCGTGCTCTCACCACCCCCTAGGGATGCTATGTATTCTTAAAAACTTTCTTATTAGAAAATAGGCAATTCTGATTTCCAGATTGAAATGGAAGGAATCCTAATGACACAGTGGTTAAGAGCTGACTGTTAACCCACCAGCTCAGGGGGAGACCAATGTGGCAGTCTACTAACGTGAACAACAACAACAACAAAATCCATTGCTGTGTTTCCAAGGCTTTAATCTTTACTGTTGTGGTACAATAGGAAAAGTGCAGGACCAAATGGTTAGTTTGAACCACAAGATTGGCAGTTCAAACTCAACAGTTGCTTCTAGGAAACTCCATACAGGGTCACAGTGGGTCAGAACCAACACAACAGCTCTTAACAACAACAGTCTTTACTGAGGATTCTTGGTGTGGTGCTGTAGGATAAGCACTGGACTGCTAACCACCTTGGAAACCCTATACAAGGTCGCTATGAGTTGAAATTAACTCAATGGCACTTAACAACAACAATATCAATCTTAACGACAACAGCAAGGCTGCCCTAGGAGTAGCTGCTGGGTTTCAATCATCAACCTTTCAATTAGCAATCAAAGCTTTAACCACGAAGCCAAACACCTGTGACGCAGTCCTACTATGTTAGGGTCTCTGTGAGACAGGATCAACTCTAAGGCAATGCATTTTTGTTTTAAATTGGAAATTGTTGATTGGTTTTCAGGAACCTGGTCTCCATTTCCAGAGAAAAGGAGTTTAGCAAGTAGTAAACTGGTAAAACTCATTGTGTGTAATCAAAATGCTAAAAAGAAACATCATTCTTAAAAGAACTCTCTCATTTTGAAACATAAATCAACATGCCCTGTGAAGTTTAAGATCTGCTCCCACAATCATTTAGTTAAATTGTCTAATATTTTTTTCCCCCTTGTCATGATTGAACTTGTTGTTTAGAGTTTCCAAGGAGCAGTTGGTGGGTTTGAACCAATGACCTGTTGAGCAGTCCAGTGCTTAACCTACAGCATTACACCAGGACTCTAACTTTTAAATATTCAACTCCTATTAGGACATAATGCTATTTCTTTCATTTTAGTGGATAATATAGCAGCTCAAACTCACCAGCTGCTGCTTGGAAACCCTATACAGGGTCGCTATGAGTTGCAGCTGACTCCATAGCATATAACAATAGCAATGTAGCATTAGCCACCTTCTGTTAATTTAAGAGGCTTAAACCCAAAATGAGAGAATCTTTTGATGACATTTATATATTTGCTGTATTTTGATGGTGTTTGCCTATAAACTCATTAATCCTGAATGCAAGTTAGAACTTAATGATACAAGGCATTTTTAGTGTACTTCAATTCTATTCTTTCACAGTTAATACATATGAGGTGAACTGCCTGGTCAATCTCTTTTATACCTTGGTGGGACAAGTGGCAGAGCGGCCCGGCGTAGTTGTTGGACTGGATCGGAATGCATTTCGGAACATCTTGCATGTGACATTTGGAATGACAGATGACATGATTATGGATAGAGGTAAGAAGACACAAAAGAATCAAAGAGGCCAGATTCAGCCATAACAAAGAAAAAAGCTTGGATGCGGAACATATTTTTGGTGGGATGTGCATTTCCAGATTCACTTGAATTTTGCCTAGATCATAGGGAAAGCAATAAAATCCATTCTAGTTTATGTATTTATAACTTGGTTATACCAAGTTAAGTAACTGTTTTCATATATATATATATATGTGTGTGTTTGTGTGTGTGTGTGTGGTTGTTGTTGTTGTTAGGTGCTATCAAGTCGGTACCGACTCATAGCAACCTTATGCACAGCAGAACGAAATACTGCCCGATCCTGGGCCAACCTCACTACTGTTGCCACGCTTGAGTCTATCGCTGCTGCCACTTGGCCAATCCATCCCATTGGGGGTCTTCCTCTTTGTCTCTGACCCTCTACCTTATCAAACACGATATCCTTCTCCAGCAACTGGTCCTTCCTGACAATATGTCCAAAGTATGAGAGACTAAGTTTGGCTATCTTGGCCTCCAAGGAGCATTCTGGCTGCACT